TAGAATGAAAAGGTTTGCAAGCTCAACTTAAAAAACTAAGAAAGGGCTAGGTTGTGGATGTGTCACTTTAATGCATCTAATAGTCCAAATACACCTCAGAATTTTGTTTTTCATATTTTCCCCCTGTTCACTAAGCCAGCCTCAAGGGCTCTAAGACACCCCCCCCGCCCCCTTGGGACAGAGTGAGGGAGACAGCTCTGGTTTCCCTTCAAGGCATGTGACCTCCACCAGGCCAGCATCTGTGTCCATTTGTTCTTGGGTGTGGCTTTGGGGACTGGGTGGGGGGTGCTCTGGGGGCGGAAGTGGGGGGAGGCGAGAGGAGTGATTGCTAAGACCCGCCAGGACGCCTCACTCCCCGGGAATGCGCCCCGGGCGGCCGTGGGTGGTTATAACCCAGACGGGGTGCCAGGCGCCGGGGAGGAGGCGGCGGCGGGACGGCGCGGGCCCCAGACGTCTGCGCTGAGCTCTCTGTCCTCCCTCCCGGCCCCGACTGCAGGGTCGGTTCCCAGGTGGGCAGTGTCCCCGGGTCCCTCTCCGCCCGGGGACCCGGGGAGGGGAGGAAAGAGAGGGGGTTCCCAGCATCACTTGGCCTCCCGCTCTCTGTCCCCCTGCCGGGTGCAGGGACCATGGCTGGGAGAGGACCGCCCTGGACGTGGATGGTCGGTGCCCTGCTCACAGCTCTCCTTCTGCGGGTGACAGGTAAGCAGAGGTGCTGTGTGCTGCGTGCTGCGTGCTGGCCGCTGTGCCCGAGGGCGGAGGGCGCTCTGTGGCCCGGGAGCGCCTGTCGGGGGAGCGGGGGACGGGAAGGGGGTTTCCCTTCAAGGCATGTGACCTCCACCAGGCCAGCATCTGTGTCCATTTGTTCTTGGGTAGATGAGCCTGGCGCACAGTAGGTGCTCAGCATGTACGTGCTGAATGAGTGTGTGGCTCTTACAGCCTCGTGGGGACAGACACCTGGAGGAGTCACAGTGAGAGATGTTTGCACAGAGTCGGGGGCACCCAGAAAGACCGGATGGAGAAGAGGTCAGGACAGGCAGCCCCAGATGGCCTGGGACCAGGGAGGGACAAGTCGCCTTTGGGGTTCCCCACCCAGTGCCCCATTTCTCAAAGGGCCAGGAGCCACCCACCCCCTCAGCCTCAGGGGGCCCTGCCCAACTTTCTCACCCACGCCTGGCTGTGCAGCTGAGCCACCGCACCTGCGTGGGGTGGCGGGGGGCAGAGGGAGGGAGAGGTGGGCTGGATCCTGACCCCTTTCTGCTCCCTGCTCCATAGCACCAGGGTGCCGCAAGAGAAGGGCTTGTGGGGTGTCTTGGCAAAGTGGCCTGAGTTTTCTGGACCCAAAATGCAAGGTTGGAGAGCTCAAGGGACAGAAAGTTACAGAGAGAGAGAGACTCAGAGAGAGAGAGACTCAGAGAGAGGTTGCGGAGGATTGAGCACAGGGGAGGAAAGACACAGAAACCCAGAGGTGGAGAGAGATTGACAGGAATCACACACACAGGAAGGGGCGAGGATATGATGGGGGCCATGGTGGGGCTTGCGCGCCTCACAGCTCAGGAAACTGTAGGCGTGAGGTTCGCACGGTGTCTCGCGCCCCAGTTATCCCTCCATAAAGCCGTTTAAAAAAAAAATAAAGAAGAATTGCAGGGGGTATTCGACAAGCAAAGTGCTCCGAGGCATACCAAAGAGAGGGGATCGTGGAGACGCAGAACAAGGGCCAGATGTGGAGCCACACAGGCGAGGGAGGGAGGGAGGAACAGACACGTTGAGACACAGAGAGACCGAGAGAGAGAGAGAGAGAGAGAGAGAGAGAGAGAGAGAGAGAGAGAGAGAGAAAGGGATAGATACTCTATGGACACCTTATCCCCAAAGAGACTCAGATAGATTCGGAGGGAAGCCAAGAGGGAGAGACGGAAAATGTGGAAGAGTTGGAAACGGGGAGACGAGGGCTGGAAGGGTGACAGGAGGTGAGAGCAGGCGCGGGGAGCCGGCGGAAAACCTGAGCCACCCCCCAGCGCCCTCCCCATCCCGAGGCCAGGAGGCAGGGAGTGGCTTTGGGGACTGGGTGGGGGGTGCTCTGGGGGCGGAAGTGGGGGGGGGGGGAGAGGAGTGATTGCTAAG